TGAAACGCAGCCACTATTTTATCGTGGCGTTTAACACGATCCATTATGTATCTTGTGGAGAGAGGGCGGGCAGAGGTGAACAGCCTCCGTTGTGGTAGCCGGTTGATTCTTCGCTTAAGCAGATATGATTGAGGACCGCCATAGAGACGATCAATGAGCAACTAAGTATAGTCAGCTGGTGAAGGCGAACGTTCAATCAGACCACGGTGTACACGGCCTCCTACACCGAAACATTCGATTTAATTCGATTGAATCTGCACCAATACGTATGAATATATATTTCCATTAATAAATATATAATATATGAACATAGTTTCTAATTGTAACAAAGAGATCATGAAATTATTAGTGAATTCCATTACTTTTCCATTGAAAAATATATTTTGTCAATAATAGATTAAATTATCTTATCAATAGTAATAAAAGTGATACACTAACAGAGAAATGAAATATTAATTATTAGATTTGTTCGAAATTACTTGTCATAATTTTAATTGTTATAATAGTTTTTTAATCTTCTTAAAATACTATATTTATAATCTAAATTATATATTAAAAATAAGTATATATAATCAGATGTTTATCTCATTATAATCATCATTAATTCTCAGCAAAAGTACATGCTTTTAATATAATAATAATTAACTGATCATTTTGACAAATTTGATAATGCTAGTTTTAAATATATAAATAGCAATAACTACTATTTTATAATAATAATTTCTGTTATATGTCAGGAAACATAAATTCATGTTCATTGAAAGCAACCAATGTCCCAATACTTTCAAGTGGCAATGTATGTATACATGGTAGCTAGACCTCTGTTCACAGAAGCTTTCTAGTTTCATGGTTGGCTAAACGACACACAACATCCTCAAAGTCGTTCCCCTCGTTTGGTCACTATGGCGAAACATGCATTCCTCCCTTGTCCATAATAAAACTCGGCGACTATGACATAGCGATACAACCTCTTACATTGACAGTCTTATCTCTGAAGAGAGACTGAACGACATGTAAATCGAGACAAGATTGAATTCTGTTGCATGATTGCACGACCGATCGAATAGAGTTCTTTTTAAGCATTACGATAATGATTTTTCATTTGGATAGAAAACTACATTTGAGTATGCTCAATGAGAAGAATAATGGCACAAATAGAATACGTAGTGGATATAAATAGTAACTTCTTATTCTAATTGATGATGTTTAATTAAAAAATAGATTATGAATAGAAGCTTTATCTTTTCAATATAGATAATTCTTTAATTTTTAACTGCTTTCTTTTATATATATATATATATAAAAGATTAAAAAAGAAGTTATCTTTTTTTTATCAATCACAAAGTAAAAATTAATTCACGTTGTGGAATATCGTCAACAGATAGATATTAAAATAAAAAAATGAACAAATTTTATTAATATAATGTAATGTATAAAGATAATAAATAATAATATATTCGTTCAAATAGTTTTATAATGTACTTACAGCACAATGAACACTTTATAACTTCTCCAAATATTATTCGATTTGTTTAAAATTCTTGATAATAATTATAACCTTCAAAAATTAAGCTAACAGGTATACTTTTATTGTTTCGTATATTCGAATACTTTATTGTTTCATATATTCGAATACTTTCGTATATACATGTATATGTAATAGACAAACTGAAAAAAATTAACACTTTATCCAGACAAAATGTCTACTGATTTTAGACAATCACAATATTTGTAAGATTTTGGATTAGATTGTATGTATTTTGGATTAGATGATATGTATTTCCAAATAATATCTATCGCTGATATACATAAATACTTACAAAAGTCATCCTTTACTTTGCCTGATCTCAAAAAAATGATACACTTCAAAATTTTATTACTATATAAATTCGTGTTTCGAGCATATTCTGATATTTACACGTCCTTAAACGAGGACGAATCACAGTTGAACGAATGAGGGCGTTGCGATCGCGGACGTTGGAGAAGCCGTACGGTACAATAGGCATCGCGTTAATGAAACGGGACGGCCGGCATGGAGTCACGTCCGATCCTATAGCGTTAGATGCAACTTCTTTCACGATGACAGTGCAACTGACATTCGGACGGGTCGCGACCGGTTTCCGTATCGTGACAATCTCAGTTTGAGAGATATTCCTCGACACGCTATTTTTGGTATGTCATTCGCGGTTTATTCGAACGTTCATTCGGGTCGAATTCTGAATCCTTTGTATGGTGGGTCAGTGGAAAAAAATATGTTTCTACGAATCACGAGAATACATGATTCTGTGCATGATTCTGGCTTCTGGTTGAAAGATGGGTTTAATAGGAAGAGTAAACTGTAAAAGTTAACACGTTGTTAAGAGAGAGCTTAAGATTCATGAATGTGAGTATGCATGGGTAAAGACGTTAGGTTATCGGCACGTTTCATTATCACGTGCATGTTCATCGACAAGTTCATTATCATTATTTATTGTATAAATTGAGTGCACAGAATTTATGAATCGAGGTAAAGAGATAAAAGTATGGATCATTTTAAAAATAAATATATATTTGAAAACTAAGTTGTTAAAAACTATTAATCCATTGAAAACCTTACCTTAACCTTATCTGTACCTTAATTTATATAATTTATAATTATAATTTTTCTTTTTTCACTTACAATTTTAAGAAATTTAAACAAATTTATAACACTATGATAAACTATATTTTTTTTTAAACAATGGAAATTATTGTGATAATTATTCTAATATATTTTTTATTCGAGTCGAATTCTGAATCCTTTTTATCGTCAGTAAAAAAAACAAATCGTGAATTTCTTTATGAATTTTATAAATCCAAATTCTTCTAATTGATAAAAAATTTATATAAAATATTGAAGAAATATAAATTTTTAATTAGAATATATAATAGTTAATAAAAATTTGACGTTATTAATTCTAAAGAACATGAAAATACCAATCCATGAAATAAATCTTGGACTGATTCATGACTATTTATTATTAAAAATATTAATCAAACACGATATATCATATTATCTATTTAACTAATTTTACCAATGAACAGCCTAAATTCCTTTTCCTTTTCAGATTGCATACCGATCAAGGATGACAAAGCATTAATAAAATATTAGGCACTAAAGCTAAAATATTACGGCTATGATACCTGTGGAACAATTACGCCCGAATCCGAACAATGCCAGGAATCTCTTTCATCGTCCCGGTTCACGACGACGTGAAGGAATTAAAGAGCACGTTTGATTCCCGTTCACCTACGCGAGTCGGCCGTGTTACGTAAGCTCGTGCACGAGAGGAGACAAATACCATAAGTCAGCGTTACCATAGTGCAAACACGCCGCTAATGGCACGCCGAGATGGTGGGTGGTGGAAGGTTTTTCGGCTCTTTACAAACCTGTCGGCGGCGGCACCAAAGGGCACCGGAAGACGCGGGGAAGCAACGCGTGGGTGGACATGTGAAAAGAGATCGGCCGAGTCACGGAACTTCATGACCCATTTGGAGACCTCGTCTTATTTGCTTTTTGTTTTTTTTCTCGAAAAAAATTGTTCGATTTTTGAACCGATGAAATTGATAGGACTAGTTGTTTCTGATAACAAGAATATTCATCTTTTTGGTAAATCAATAATCATATTCTAATTATATTTTCTAAATATGAATTTTTAGTATTTGAAATATTAATAATTAATTGATTAAATTTAATTACACGAAATTGTAAAACTATATATTATTTAATATATTATCTAATTTATGTTCATTATTCATAATTTCGCGTGTTCATATAAAATAAGATCAAAAATGTTCTAAGTCATTTTATTCAAAAGCAATACAACACAAAGCTCTATTCAAATCTCTCATTCTTCACAGAATTTACTATTCATTTTTTATATCAAGGAATACTTTGAACTACAGCAAGTTACAATAATATTAATAATAAAACCATATATATATAACATGTTATATAGGCTCTGATATCAGGATGCAAGTTTAATAAATAAGAAATCATTGTAACAAGTTAAAAAATTGGAAATTCATAATAAAAATGATTCTTGCTGTCAAAATGAATACGATGAATATTTTATTAAAGGAGTATTAAAAATTTTAAAACATTTTTCTGTTCTTTTGGAAAAAGATAAAAATCATAAATCCTTTTTTATATAAATCCTTCGATTCTTTTCTCTTAAATGAAAAGAAAACTTATGTTTATTACTTATTCGAAATTTAAACAATAAACCTCGAATCGAGTTTTCCTTGAGGCAGAAGAGACGTTATTGCGTCCTTTACGTCAAACTTTTTTTCGTAAATTCTTGGCATGAATCGAGCCAATGTGGAAGTTCTTCGAACGTGACGTGAAGTAGCCGCTTTACACCCGAGCTACGCCCACGCTTCCGACAGAATTTCAAGTTCATCGAGAATCTCGATAAATCATAAGAACCATTCTGTGTAAAGTTATCGCGTTAACCGTCTCTTGGGTGTCATAGATTTTACCAAGAAAAGCGAATTCGATGCTTTTATGAAGAATAAAAATCGAAATACTTCAAAATTGAATTCGAATTGAAAATTAAAATCGCATTTAACTATACATTTTATTTTTTTTCTTTGTTTTTTTTTTTTTATAAACTTATATGGGCTATAAAGTTAGACATTTTGAAAATTAGAAACCATCGAAATTTTGTTTTCTCTTCTTTAAAAAATTATATTTTTTTCTTATTGCTAATAATTATTAATTCCCAAATTTTAACGGAAGAGGATTAAATTATGATCAATTATAATCTTTCTTTCATGAACAAGAATCGCCCGCAATTCTGATCCATCTTAAATATCAATAATATTATAAATGCTATCTGAACGAAATACCAAATATCTTATTACGAATCCCTCGATTAAAATTACACGTCCGATGAAATTTATCGGCGCTTAAATATACGCCCACGTTCACGTGTCATCCCACATAATAACCCGAACAATAACAATTGAAATACACTCACCGAATCCCATCCGCACCTCCTCCTCGTCGTCGCTGTCGATGTGCTTGATACCAGCGATCTCGAAGCTCCTCGTCGATTGTTCCTTCCTCTTATTGGCCGAGGGCGAACAATCGCAAGTATCCTCCCCGCAGCTGCAATCGTCACCAGCGCACCTACAACCCAGCAACGGATCGTCGGTGTCTATATTCCTGCACGCCGGGCAGGGGAACGTCAAATCGTCCAAGGAAACTCTCTCGATTTTCCTCTCCACGGAGACCAAAAGATTGCCAATGAACGCTGGCAGCTCGTCATCCTCCACGTCGTCCACGCTCCTCAAGTTGTGCAACCTATTCTCACCTTCCCCGACTCCTGTCCCACCCTGCTTCTTCTTCTTCTCGAGAACAGCCTCGTCCAGTCTCAACGGTGTCGTCAAATCGTCGGGGGCGAGGGGTTTGCTCCTCGTCTCGCACCTGGCCGTCTCCTTCCACTTCTCCATGGTCATCGAGGAGACGACCTTGGCGCACCTCTTCACTTTGGCGCGACTCTCGTCGCCGGAAAGACTAGAAGAGTGGTTCGACGGGCTTGTCCTCGTTCCGTTCGATTCCCCCGTTTCCAATTCCGCCTTCCACGTGCCCACGCTCGACGTCGATCTCGACTTCATGACCGCGTGGCCGCCGTCGATCTCGTTCTTCCTGCGTTCCTCCCGCCCCTCGTTCGAGCCCTTGCACTCGAGGCGATCGATCGAGCGGGTCTCGTCGCGGCGATGCTCGAACACGCAGCCCTGCTCGCGCGTCCTCGAGCGCACCTCCTCGCGCGAACGCCGCCTGGGCCGCATGCTCTTCGCGGTCCCCGACGATTGCGGCCCGGCCAGGCTGCCGCTCGCCGTATCGCTACTCCCCTGCCCCTTTCGAGACACCTCCCGCCAGTCCATGAACTCCTCCTCGCGGTCCCAGCCGAGGAAACCTGGGGCCCTCATCGACGTCGTTCGCCAAACTACTGCAATCTGAACGGAAGGAAGTCCTTTTATGATTATAAAACGTGTATACGAAGTTTTATCGATTATTTTTATCGATTATTAAACTGTTGAAAAGAAATCTTAAGGACACGGGGATAAGAAGATTCTTGTGAAATCATGCAAAGAATATTTGAAAAACATTGAGATACATTTATTACACGATTCATGCACTTAAAGGGAAACGGTAATGAAAAAGAAATAGTTACAACTTTCGATACGTTAAAAATTGCAGTTACATGGTCAGTTCTGTTGTATTATATAAGACGTACGAGAGGTTCATCGCATTTCAGTGGAATCTTTCTCTGTCATATAATCGAATTATGCATGGTCATAAATTATGTACATATTAATAATTCATTTCTCTTCCTTTTGTTTTAATTACAATATCTTTTTCGATATTCAAATATATAAATTTTTTTTTTAAACCTATTAATGTGGTGATTGGAGATGTGTATATAAATATAAATATGTATATAAATATAAATAAACTTCAATTGGAATAGTTGTTTAATCATGAAAGCATAGCAAAAAATAATTAGATATTACGCATCACAATATATATGTATAAAATACATTAATAATTTACAAAATTTGCCATTAAATTTCGTTCAGATTTTAGTAAGAAACATGAAAAATATTGAAAATCATATGAACAGTCTTATTTTTTTGATCAAAGATAATCGTTAGAAATTACAAACGTAAGAAGTTTTATATACTATAGAAAATCTGATAAAAAATTGGCAAACAATTATTGAATAAACAATAGAAAATATGTTATATCGATTCGAAAACTTAAACTAAAAATTACATTATTGACACACTTTTCAAAGAAACCCTGTTTCTCATAATAACATTAATATAATATCGATTAAAAAACGTTAAAAAACGAGGATCGCGCAACGTTCTCCGGAAATTTCTCCAGGAGAAATAATTTCCGCGGATGGAAATGAAAAAACCGGCTGAGGAAAACGTGACTCACCTCGACGGTATTCCGCTCGTCACCAGCGGCAACTTCGCCGCTCCCTGAGGTGGTTGCAACTGCAGCTGCGCTGCGTATGCAAAGGTAACATTCCCCGAGACGTAGCGCGGAGGCCTCGAGCTCTCCTAGCTGCAGGACGAGGCCACGTCTTCCCAACGTCAGAGGCCAGCCTTCCGGTATCACCGACTCGTTCCCCTGCAACGGAACCGCGCTTATTATTATGCTAATTCGCGTGTTATGGAATCAAGGTTACTCAAGGATACGAAGAATTACATAAATATAGGAATAAGTACGATAGTTTGGATTATCCATGTTCTAGAAGAACGAACTAAATTTATTTTTAAAATATTTATATTTTCTTTCGACTCTCAGACGATTCTTTCAAGATGCTGTTTATATATATATATATTCTTTTTTAGAGCGATTTTAATCGAGATATTACAGATTGTAATATTACATGATCAGTTTGAAAGTAATAATAAAGACTTTTTAAATATGAAATGTGATAAAAGAAAGATTATTTTAATTTTCATTTTCATTATTTTAATTCTCTTCTTGAAGAAAATAACACGGCAAAGTTATGAATTTCGTTCATTAAAATATAAAAAACCGAGATACATTTCCATTTATTACACGATTCGTGCACTTAAACTTTACTTAAAAGGAAACGGTAATGAAAAAGAAATAACTTACAACTTTCGATACGTTAAAACAAACTGCAGAACCCACGCGTCTGTTATAATAAATTACCACTGCGATATACATTCACCCTATAATTTGTCAAAACATAAAACCACCCACAAGCGCGATTCCAATTGCCTTCTTCGTAGAGAGGAGGGGAGGGGGCCCAAAGTGGTTTACGATGCTCGTAAACACGCGAAACAGTGATTCCTGGGGGAGGTCCCCCTCGTTTCCCACGTTAATTCGATCGTCTCTGCGTACGAGGGGGCGATGAAAAGGGCCCTGACAATCGGGGACGATTAATTAAAACGAAGCCGGAAGCTTGAACGGCTAATGAAATTCCTCTAAATAAGTTACACGCGGAGAGGAAGGGTAATTGTAGAGCCAAGCCCTCGCGAGAGGGAACGTTAATCACCTGTGATTAGAGGGGTAATCAACGCCGCTCGCGGATTACGCCCGAAATTGAGCAGACGTGTAACTCCGTGAATGGCGTCGCGTCATAATTTTGTCCCACGGTTTAATCCGCGAATTGGAATTTCGTTGAATTATAAATTGAGAAAGTTAGAGAGGATCCTTTTAAAAATAAAAATAGTTTTTTTTGAATTATGCGATGTACAGAATTAAAACAAAAATTGATATATCGGTAAAGTAAGTTTATAAATAATTTAAGTTTGATAGAAAGTCAGATAGAAGGTTTACATTTTCGTATACCAACTTTTGTTTTGATTTTTAAAATCAACGCAAAAAAATATTACGAATGTATTAGCATATTGTGCAGTAATCTTTGGATTATGCAAATTTTGACTCAATTATCTAAGAAGATATTGTTTCACATGGAACAATGGAGACAGGAAAAAGTGTTCGTGTTTTGTTTTATGGTTATCTTAAATTGTTAAAAGCATATACATTGAAAACTAGAATTTTATTTCGAATTATTAGAGATAAATGATTTCGCTTCTATAAAATCTACAAATTCTATATTGCGTAGTGTAAATTATATTATGTAATTCTGTATATCGGGTAACGTAATAAAAAATGGAGATATTAATAAAAAAAAAAAATAAGCAGATCATTTTGTGCAATAAAAATGCAAAGATGGTTTTTGAAATATGTGTATATATATATATATGTAAATGAAGTGATATATCTTCGACTTAGATTTATGAATTAGAAACAAAATGAAAATTGTACACGAGAGATAAAATGTATAGCAATTTTTTTTATGGCTAGTTTGTATTATGAAAATGGTTTTTCTGAGAATGATTGAATTTTTATTTAAACGAAGCATAAAATGTTTCATAAGCATGTAATCTTATCATCTTTCCATACATTAAATTAAGAAACATAAAATTACGTGAAAAATTTGGGAGATAATATCCAAGGTGATTATTTCTTATTACAGAATTATCGAAACGCAATAATATTTATAACTTGGAAACGAGGTCACAGATACAACAAATATTCACGTAACTACGTTATTTTATTTCCTTATTCGTCTTAAGAATTTTTCTGTAATATGTACCACGAATCCGTTGTAATGGCTTAATAAAACCTGCTTTATCTGATTTTATATAAGAAAAAAACAGTCAATTCTTGCAAAAAGTGTTATACAAAGATAACAATATTATTACTTTATTAAATATAACAATATTTCTATAATTATTCAATATATTTAACAATTCGTAAAATATAAGATTTGAAATAATCATCAACAATATTCAATTACTATATTATTTTTCTTATATAATAAGATATTATGTAATGAGATACATAAAATCTGAAGAAAAAAACGTTTTCAAGAACGATTAAAACTTTCATTCCAACCGGAATACTCGTTTTGTTAGAATCTGTGAAAGTGCAGAGTTGCAATGCTACTCCCAGATTCTCGTGTCTCGCCTACGCGCATCGATGTACGATCCAACGTGTAAGCAATTAGACGGTGCAACACGCGAATAAAAGCAATCGATAGAATATTTACACCTTGCATCCATTAGAAATTAAACGAGCCTAAGGAATAGCCTGCCATACGAGTTTTCCTCATTACGAAAGCAATTTAAAACTATAAATTGATACAATTGAAAAAAGAGAAACTAAATTATTTGAATCATTTAATTTGTGTCAAACTTTTATCTTGTTGAAGTTAATCGATTCGATTTCTATAAAATTTACATAATTATTTGATAATCTTCTTTACTCGATCTTTGAAAAGTATTAAAAACTTACTTATGGAAATTGTGAAGCTGTTTCGATTCTTTTAATCACATTACGATTCAGCATTACGATTTATATTTTCTTAACTCTTCACTCGATCTCTCGTCACACTCAAAATCTAAAACTACCACTTTATAAACGTTATAAAGAAACCGACTACGCATGGCACGCGACATGCGCGCGCACGCATTCTCCGCTTAATTAAGCCGCATTCCCACTGCGATTGCGCAATCCAATTCTCCCCTCTATCGATACGATCTGCCTGAATTGGCGCGTGGGAAATGCTTTTTCGCGATCGATATCGCTCTCGATGGAATTCGACTGTCAACCGAAGCAATTCGCGCGATTTTTCCCCGCCTCCGCGACTTTATTATCCTCGTTATTTACGACATTGGAAAGGTGGAAAAAGTGGTCGATATCGACGATAGGCGCGGCGGGACACGGGATACAATGGTCGCCGATGGAAATATCCGATTTGTATAATGGCGAGACCGGGTTATATGGGGGATTAATGGGCGTAATGAATTCCTAAATGACTCGGCCGATTCGTAGATAACGTCTCCGCTAGGTGTTGGGTTATTGATGGATACACACAGGTATGTGGCGGCTCCAGGTGGCCGTTGGATTGGAATGGTTCTCTCTTGTCGGATCGAGTTACTCGCGTCTTTTCAAACTATAACGAGGTTTTTCAACGGTCTCGACATGACTCGGAATTCGTGGAGCGAGCCAGGTATACATTTAATACTTTGTTGGCAAGGTTATGATTTACGTGTCACGGTTTAGAATGGCGTGTTAATTCCTGTCGTTGCTTGTGCACCTTATCGAGAGTTGAGAGACACGAATATACGTATGTAGTGAGAAACCGGATTGAACGTGTGCATATAAAGTGGTTGGAAATATAAGAAGAACGACCATCTTTGAATTTTATTTTAATCGAAGTTTCTATTCTACAAATTGTTACAATTTAAAGAGAAATTTAATTATATGTCTATACTATAACTAGATTCTATTATTCGATATATATTCTATTACATATATCATTTAGAATATTTTAGAAATAATTGATAATTGAAATGTGAATGGTAAGTAAATAGTTTGATATTTTGGAGCATTTAAGTAGTAAAGGTAAACGAATAGTGGAACATATCTTTCTGCGTATATTTCATATATATACATGTACTTTTATTGAAAGTTAATAAATGCCTAATATGATATTTGGATAATGTACACATAATAGTACATATAAAACGAATTATCATCAAAATTGAATTCATACTTTATTTCAATGTTTTGCTCGAATATATAATATTAACTAATAATATTAAAAGAAATAGAATAGAGATTTTTCTTATTTTTAAATATTATATTTTAAATCTTTTCTTATATTCTTTTATAAGAATCAAAATAAAATATTTTCAAAATTTCATTGTTTAAATTTTAATTTCAAGTTTAAAATTACACATCACCAGAATTACCAATCGTTGAAATAAACTAATTTTCTCTAACGATAATCACACAAACGAATAACGCACACATCAGAATTAACAACGAATGTTATTAATTAACAGAATAATTATCGGTTCTGAGTAAGTAAACAAACACTCCAATCGAAACGCACAATCTTATATATATATATATCTCACCCAATAATCAGAATTATATACCTACCATCGAAACGACCAATCCACGGTCCCGAGCTATAAAACAGATAATCGTACGGGCAAAAGGAGAGCGTACGATACAGTCAGGTATATAAATATCTCGTAATTTCATCGCGAATAGGCAAGCGTATAGACACGGCGAGGTGGCCAGGTCGCGCGACAACCCCGGCGAACGGAAATCAGCGTGTCGACAACAGGGCCCAGGCTACGTTTATGATGGACGAGATAAGAAACGAGGCCCGTGGCTGTCACCGCGTGTCTCATTAGCGGTAAACGGTCCGGTAGAGATGTATCTAGCACCGAAACTATCCTGGGCTTTCACCCGAGCCGCTGATTTACCGATCGAGCGCCCTTCAATTGCACCTAGGCGCAACGTCGTCGTGTTAAACGAACCCTGCCACGAAACCAGCGTTGGGACGGACAACACGTGGGGAGATAGGAAGAGTGTAAATCAAACCGTTCACCGAACGCTCTCCAAGCTCTGCTCAGATCGTTAAAAGCGCCGCTCGACGCCAATTTCAACGGCAAGTTTGGGCTATAAAGTGTCGGGGAAGGCGTATTCTTCGGGCTTGAATTAGGATAATTGGGCAGATATGAATAATATTGAGGGAGGGAGTAGTGTAATAGTTGGAACGTGATGAT